GAAAACCATGAGCATAAAGTTTTGTACTTATAGAACTTTTGGTACTTGAGTTGCAAGGTCTCTAATTGTTAAGATGGTACCCTTAACAATTGGCATGGCGGCGACTTGAGCCAAAGGATGTCTTAAGTACTTATCCGTCAATTAACATTTCATACGAGTCTGATGACTCATTCTCAATTCCTTTCAGAAATGGAACGTACCGGGAAAGTAACTAGAAGGAACCCGACTGGCCAGGCACCGAGAGGGTCCGTGCAAGGCAGTAGAGGGGCTTCTAGAGTGTCCAGGGGACAAGGCCGTGGAGGCCAAGCTCAGACCGTGAGTGACGGTCATGTTGAAATGGTAAATGAGTCTTATGAGTCCGAGGAGGATTCAACGTATCAACCGGGAACAGAGCCGGTTGAGACCCCATATGATGGGGAATATGATGATGTGAGTGAACAGAGCGATGATAATGACGCGCTTGAAAGAATGGAGGAACTACTCCGACAGTATCAACAAGATCGTCAAAGGCGCCAGGCAAGGCGTGCTTTGGAAGGGGCTTCAAGAAGAGGAAGCCATGTGGGATCTAGAGGACATGTAGAGTCCCGAGTAGATCGGGGTGCTGAGGTCCCAATAATAAGGATCTCGAAGTACCTCAAAGAAGCGAGAGATTTGGGGTGTAAGCCGTTCGATGGAACGGGAGATATCTCCGTTGCGGCAGAGTGGATCAAGAGATTCAACGAAGCGGCTCTTGACATGGAGCTGCCGCCGATCATGAAGTTGAGAGTGGCAACGAGGTTGCTAGAGGGAATGGCGTCCACATGGTGGGACGGTGTTAAAGGGAAGTATGGTGAGACAGTCACTTGGGAGACAGTCACTTGGTTGCTAGACTTGATGGAGAACATTCCATAAAAATTTCATCAAAAAATTCCACCGGGAAGGCGGCCAAACTCCGCCGTCCGGACGGCGGTTCCTGTCCGGAATTCCGGACATGAACTTTTGTCTATATATATATATATATATATATATATATATATATATATATATATATATATATATATATATATATATATATATATAGGGTGCGGTTCCGGTGAGAACACTTCTTAACGTGAGAAATGAGAACGCTCCAAAATGATGCACTTTATCATTCACGAAAATGCACATTTATAGTTAAAGTAATGCAAATTTCTAATGTGCACTTTTACGTGTAAACTTTTGCACGGTTGAAATGCACATTTTCCAATTTTTCATATGCACATTTCTGTTTTACATGATGCACAATGCTAAAATCCAACGCTCCAAAATCATTCTCATTTCTCTCCTAAGATGGTATTCTCATTTGATCCTTACCCTATATATATATATATATATATATATATATATATATATATATATATATATATATATATATATATATATATGTAAGGAAGCGGATCAGGTGAGAAGTGCCCTTAGGCTAAGAAGTTGCGAAGTTAACTTATAAGCAAATAACACGAACTTTTAACCAATAAATCATAACTTATAGACCCCCTCAAAAATAATTACGAAAATGCCACCGCGTCAAAAAAAAAATTCCAGGTTTCCGGAGTTATTTTGACGCGGTGGCATTTTCGTAATTTTTTTGGAGGGGGTCTATAAGTTATGATTTATTGGTTAAAAGTTCGTGTTTTTTGCTTATAAGTTAACTTCGCAGCTTCTCAGCCTAAGGGGGACTTCTCACATGATCTTCTCTCTCTCTCTCTCTCTCTCTCTCTCTCTATATATATATATATATATATATATATATATATATAGGAAATCTTTCCGGTAAGGTATACCTTACCGGAGCCGCCGTGCGGCCTCCATGTTTTGAGGGTCTTCCCGGTGGAATTTTTCGATGAAATTTTTTGAGCATGTTATTCATCAAGTCTAGTACATCCATACCAAATTTCAGCAAAAAATTCAATCGGGAAGAAAGTCAAACGAATTTTGGAAGATAACTGTGTTATATATGTATATAAAGGGTGCAGTTATCTTCCAAAAATCATTTGACTGCCTTTCGGATTGAATTTTTTTCTGAAATTTGGTATGTATGTACTAGACTTGATGAAGAACATGCTCAAAAAATTTCATTGAAAAATTCCACCGGGAAGGCCCTCAAAACGTGGAGGCCGCACGGTGGCTCCGGTAAGGTGTACCTTACCGGAAGAGTTCCCATATATATATATATAAACAAAATAGGGGGAGAGGGATTTGGACGGGAACACTGCAGCATTTTGGGTCATTAATTATTGGTATATTTAAAATAAAAAATGTAGTAAATAGAACACCGAATAAAAAAATTATTGGGAAGACCAAAAGTTGTACGGCATGTTGGCGGACAAGAGTTTGCCAATAAATCATAACTTATAGCAATATGAGTTTGCCTTATGAGTTAACTTATAAGCAAATAACACGAACGTAGCAATCTTTTGTATTTAGCAATATGAAATTGCCATTATTATAAGTATAATGACAATATAACAAGGATGGCGATAATATCCCAAAAGATGACCATTACTTCGTATTACTCGTGTTAGAAATGGCAATAATACTCCTAAATATGGCAATAATACTCTTAAAAATGGCATTATCGCTCATATTAAATATGGCAATAAGACAATAATATTAGTAAGAATTTATGACAATATGCATCAAAGAGTCAAACAAATTGTCAACTTTAAAATTTTGAAGACCAAAAATTTGTAAAGGAGTAATTTTTTTATCTTAGTATATTTATTTTTTTTACCCAAATAAATAATTTTTATCATAGTGGTGTAAAAATTATTTTAAAATAGCGATTTGACAATTCCATATTCAAACCAAAAAATAATCTCAAAATGACAAAAATATTGATTGAAATCAAATGTAAAAAATTGCAATATGTATTGTAAAATATAAATAAAATGTCAAGGAACGAAAGATGAAATAAAATTGAAAGAGAAAAAAAAAACTGAAAGCATATCTCGAAAGAAGGAATAAAGTGCAAACAAAAATAAAATATAAAAGCTTCTTATCATTTAAGTTGTCTCATGACACTCGAGCAGCAACTTCAAGTGGTGCCGGAGATATGGTGGTGGAGCGTGTGTTCTATTTCTTTTATTTTACTAATGGTTAAAAACTTACGTGTGTTATAAAACCTGCAGCTTGCTTTCATTAAGGGTATTATGGTCAGTTTGTTTAAAACTTCCGTGTAAAACATAAGTAACTCATAGGACTCCTATTTTGGCATACTTTCTATGTTTTACTCCCATATTGGGAATTCTCTCAAACGGAAATTGTCCTGAGTTACGGTTGTGAGGGAGAGGGATGTTACGTGGCAAGAGACATATTGCGGGTTAAGACTGGCAAAGTAAAAAATTTAAAGTCTATTCCATGATACGCAAATACACGAAACAATAAATTGAAAAATAAAATTTAAAACGTTATAAATTAATAAAACGTGTAAAATGTTCAAAAGTTCAAATAAATTTACCCAACTTCATACAAAAAAGCAGCAATCTTGGTAATCCAGCCTGCAGTTAACGTTTAAGGAAAAATTCTTCCACGAGTACAGTTGAAATAATTAAAAGAAAACATGACCTGATGAGATTTCGAGCTGCATGCAAAAAGAATAATTTTAAGATGTAATGATGATGGAAAAGGTCGGTGTATCGGTGATCGATTACTGCGGATGATATATTGCCTATGTCCGGTGATAGATACTGCCCGTTGACATGGAATGGTTAAAGGCAATATATTAATAACATGGCCTTTTATATGATCTTTTGCGTTTGGGTAGGTACTGAATTTGGATCAATGTGATGACATTATATAAATTGGTCTAATATATAATATCAGCTACTTTAGTCTGGACTTTCAATTTATTATATTGTGCTCTACGATCTTTTCTTCTTCCTTTTCATTCTTTCTTATCTAAATTTCTAATTTAATGTATTATTAGATCGATGAAATTCTTGCAAAAAAAAAAAAAAATAGATCGATGAAATTAAACATTGAAAGTATGTTCAAAGAGTTTAGAGTGGTCTCTTTCTATAAAAAGAGAGTCTAGAGTGGATAATATAATGTAGATTCTTGTGTCACAACAATATCACTCCTTTAAGTGATACCATATAGAATTTCAATATAATTATATACACAATTAACATTTAAACAAATTAAAATATGTTTAAACGTATTTTAATTGTTAATTTCTAAAGTTTGTTTAGCTTGATTTAATTTAGAAATTATCCATTGAATATTCGCTGCCTCGGGTCCTTTGATTGAAATCAATATATGCTGTAGTCAAGTAGTGTAGTTTAGAAAAGAAACAACTCATTGTATTCTTATATTTTTTGTTCACAGTATTAAAGCAGAGACTTAATAAGTATTGAAGCTTCGATTTAAGGTTACGTTATTCATAAGTAAATGGATTTTTATACACAAACATATGTAAGAAATAAATATTTAGATGTTATTAGAAGAATAACTATTTATAAATATCATATTATAAATAAATAAATAATACGGAGTACTTCGTACTAAATTGTACAGTCATATACTCATATAAGCAACTTATGCATAGCCTATGCGTAAGTTACGCATATAGGCTTATGGCGTGGAAGCATAAAAAAGTCATGGTTAAATAACTTTGATTAAATTAAATCCTGCCATAGGTACCCCAATTTGTACCCAACCTATTTTTGTGGCTCAAAAAAGTTCACCTCAATAAATGAATTGCCTCACTTTAATGAGGTGCTTTTGTGAGCCACGAAAATAGAGTGGAGGTACAAATAGAGATAGCATTTTTCTTAAATTAAAATGATAGTTCATGTTTTATGAGGTAAATTGTTGACCTAACTTAAGTTTTATTTATTGAAGTTACTTTACTTTCAAATATTTTTTTTTTGGGAAGTATATTAATTGAGTATGTTAATTGAGTTTTATATCAATATTTTAATGAATTTATATTCAAAAAGATGAGTTTCACTGAAGTTAATTATTTGAGTCATATAAACTGACTTAGAAAGATTATTATCCTGGTTTATTGAGGAAAAATAAAAAAAGATGGACCGCAGGATCGTAAGCCCCGTTCTGTTAGTCCATTAAGAATCACGTGAATAACTGTTTTTGCTAGCCAAAGCAACACCGGCCGAAGTCCATAGTGCTCCACACACGTCTCAGCACGTCCCAAATAAATAGGAAAGGACTTCTTCCAGGTGTGCACTCGTTTCCGAGCCTGTATCTCTACAGCATTGGGCCCGGGGACTTTCCTAGACCTGGCCCATCCTGACGGACAAGCTCGGTCCACTCACGTCGCCCTGCGGTCATGTTGCACTAGCTTTCTGTCTCTTCCCTTATGAAGAGTTTTCCTCTCTTCTATCTAATCGGTGTGGGAAAAATAATACACCGTCTAATAGTCCACCATATCATGAATACGATGAGTAACATACTACCACTAGGCAAATAAAGAAGTAACATTCTGACTTTATTACATATATACACCAACAATCACTATACATGCAGATCTATCTGGCTATGAATAAAATAAGGAGAAGAAACTAAAGTTTGCCGATTTAAGGTAACATTTTAGCTTCCCTCTGCCACAAATGCTATTTTACATTCTTCTTACTCTGTAGAGAGGATAGATAGGGCAGTCACTGCTTCTTGGATCCATCGGTTTCATCGGTTTTTGCAAATCTTCCGCGGATTCTCGGTTGACTGTCAGCCAATGCTTTCCGGCAAGCATACTGTCAGGACAAAAAAACATGCATTACTAACCCTTGTCCTTCATTCACTATATAACTGCAAGGCATAGACAATGAAGTGAAAAAAGACTACGTTTGATGCGAGTCAAATCTCTGTGATTTACAAATTCTGCTTCTTAACCCATGTGATTGAAAAATATGTATCAAAAGCTTTTGTTATGCACATAATATTTTAAAATGAGAAATTTTCAAGTCAGGTAGGGCCGGAGAGCATGCACGCTTAATATTTTAATTATAACTGTAACATTCGAATATCCATACAAATTCACATGCATGATTATTGAAAGGTGCGCGTTTTATAGGCGGCTAAATTTGTAGTTGTGCATGATTGATAATAACAACTATATTTTGGCTCGTCTTTGGAATCACATGAAGTTAATGAACATAATTTGTATATAAGAAGAGAGTTTGAAGCATTGAACTCTTTAAATAAGCTTAAAAACATGCAAGATTCTGGGTATGACTTGTGAGTTTCAACCTTAAATTTCCAACCACGAATTGACTAACTACTGGTATTGTTAGACAAGACAAGGAAGGTACTCACCCAAGAAGAGACAAGAAAATAGGTGGGGATCATATATACCACAATGAGAGTATATTGGATACCACAAGTTAGTAAATATAGGAGTGTGTGTGTGTGTACCTTGATTTTCCTGCCAAAATTCCTCTTGTTCCTCTTGTTCCTGTATCTAGAAAGCTTTTCTTTTCGAGCTTCAGAAATGGAGGTAGTGATCATCTGATGTTGTTGACCCCCTAGTGGAGAGTGGATGAGGCTATTACCCAGTGTCTGTCATAAAAACTCAGTATCGTGAGCCAGCCTCATCCCTGTTCAAACATCACCATCTATACAATTCTCAGTTTGTAGGCTTCATTATTCAAGCAGTAAAGCATGCGTTGCTAAGAAGGGAGAGATTTTTAAGGCTTCATTTTCAGGCTTTCGGCTACTAAACACTGACTTATATATCATTGTGCTGGCTGATTCAGTTCACAATTAGAAAAATGGTGCATGGGATACTTTGTTGGTCGAAATTACATAAATGGTTGAAATTTGAAAATGAAATTACAAATTCTTATTGCAGAACTTTACCCAATATATTGAAGTGACTGGTTTAAAAATACTTTTCCCAATATGAATTTTACTATTTATCGAAAGTTCTAACACAGGGCATTTAATCACTCCAATAAAAAAAAGAATATTGGTGGTGGTCAAGACTCAAGCTTGAACACGAGATATAGGCCAAGTATGAGTGCCCCGCCCGAACTTGAGCCTAGGGTGATTGGATATAGCTCATTTCTGCCTGGTAAATGGATCAACAAGTCTACGAGAACATCAGCTTACCCGGAAGATTAAATATTACTAGTTCTTCATTTCGAGGCTTGACTTTTGTTAGCTTAGGTAGGATCTCCTATACTTAAGGTCTAAAGTATGAATCCTTCCCCCAGTAATCTAACATTGAAATGCCTATTAAAGTACACACCCTTCAAAGTTTCTGTCACCGCAAAAAAAGAGTAATGTTTGTAACTAGTATATTACAAACAAGATTCTTTTCTCCCGATGGAGGTAGCATAAGAGTAAGTTTTACCATGTGTGTGAGGTTGGATGTGGCTTTACAAATCTCTTCCTCGTTACAAATCTTTTTTTCATTTAATGGAGAATGATAGATTCTTAATTTAAATGCCCCTACCGAGGTAAAATTGAGTGAAAATTGATAAAAACGATGAGAAACAATATGTGAGCAATTGAATGTAACCTTTATGTCTCCTTCACTGAAGGACCTTCTCATACCATACACAGCATTAAAGTCCAATCCAGGAAAATTGAGAAATTTCGGCTTCATTGGCCCCCCACATTGTATCCACTCCATGGAACATAAAGACTCTGAACTACCACTTTTCTGAAACAGGTCCTTGGAAGTCAACCTTTCCTCACCCGTCAATTTTTCGTCATTATTAGCGGCAATGTGAATGCCAGCATCTGAAACCTCAGAGAATGGAGTATCTATAGACTCCTTTTCCAAAAGAGCTTCCTTGCATCCATAGAAAGCATCATTGAAGAATGGTTCACTATCAAATGATGATTCAATATCTAACAATTTAAGTTCATGGGACATGGCATCATCTGTGCAAGAAATCATTGAAATGGCAGCTGTCATTGGATCAAGGTCAAACAATGGTTCTTGAATAAGTGTCTCTGGAGCATTAAAGAGGTCTAGGTCTATATCTCCGCCAAGGTCGTATTCCGATATCGTAGACACCTGTATAGAGATCATGCACCAATTATAGTATACGTTAAGAATATTGGGAATTGAAGCCATAGAGGTGGTGGAGTATTTAGACAATAAGGTTAAGACGTTCATATCACATAAACCGTTTACACACCATCATATGCTACTATACATTATAGGTAAAGAACATTAGTAATATAAAAGAGGAGTTTAACGAGTGAATCTAATTGCTTCCCGGAAAATACTGTTTAAACCAATCTTGAAAAATAAACACAGCCCACTCACAAAGTGGACGTTTGGAAATGAAAAAGACGTAACACAATATATACAGATGAAGCCACCATTTTCAAATATAGATAACTTATATGGGAAGGTGGGGAAGGCCAAATGGACAGTTCTTTAGTCCACAAAAGGTAAAAGAGAAGTGTTCACCAAGCACTCAAATTGCACTAAGAAAATTGTGCAATTCCACCTTTCTTTCAGAGGTGTAGAAAATAAAAGGCTGTGTCTTTTTGTAAAACAAACACCATTTACTAATTATGTAGTCCCACTATCAGCTACATATCTTTAACACTAAAAAAGTCAGCTTTGCTTTATAGATTCTTCCATAATGTGGATTCTCTTAAAATGCATGTCTCCAGGAACTTTCACCCTGAATATTCTCATGGGGCCAGAACTAAACGACTGGGTAAAACTCTAGTAGCCCTCCAAAGGATTCAAACTTGTTATCTTATAGAACTTTCTATTCCATAATGTGTGTTAATTTTGTAAGGAAACATGAGTAATAAAAAACTATCTCCATTAATAACTGTCTCATGAAAGTTAGTGAAAAGTATATAATGTTTTTTTATCTCTAACACTAAATGCCTCTACAAAATGATGGATCACCCGAGCAAACCAATTTTTGATTTATTGAGCTTGAAATTCAGGCATACCAAGATCCATATAATTGTTTTAGTTTGATATGTTTTGACGTTTGATACAATATTAAGGCCTAGGATTCTTATCCTTAAAGTTAACCATAGTGGGATAGCCCATTATAATTGAGATTAAGGTGATGAATGATGATGATGATGATCCATAAGTGAAGTAAAATATAAATCCTAACAAGAAATGGGTTCCAAGTTCCAACTTCCAAATAATTAATACAACATGAGAAAAATAGGAAGTCATAGCCACTTGTCAACTTGTTGGAAATGTTGGGAAAACAGAAGATTCCACACGGAACTGATGATTGTGATATATCATATTTACCTTGAAGTCGACGATCCATCAAGTTCATCAATGAAATCAGATATTTTCTATATATAATTAGAAATGATTTAATACACAAGCATTTATAGTAAAGATATTGGAGAACTCAATTTTTGTTTCTTTTCCTCATCTAAGTCAATCAGCGGACTAAAAAAATGCATTTTGTTTTGTTTTGATCAGTTTTTTTTACTGGGATTTCTTATAGAAATTGGAAAACCCAATCAAACTAGCTAACCGCATATATGTAAAATTGTAAATGAAGTAAACCCATAACCTCAAATCTGGAGAAGAAGATGAAAACAGAAATAAACACTCAGTGTAAACCTTAGAACAAAAAACAGATCCTCAGCATACAAGTTCAAAGTTTTTGCTCAAATGACTACTGAGATAAATGCTGATTGAGTACTACAGCAAATAATTGGATCCCAGTAATTATAAATTAAAAAAGATGATGGTTAAGGAATAGGGGTTATCACCATTGAAGCAATGGGTTTCTGTGAGCAACAGAAATCTTCAAGCTGCTGAACATCTTGAGAAAAGCTCTGGAAGTATGGGAAGATTGGCTCATTTTCTGCATACATTTCTCTCTATCCCCCTTCTCTCTATTTCTATTCCTAATTAATCCAATGAGAGACTTGGTACAATCAGAAAAGGGGAGCTTTTATTGAGTGTAAAGGGAAGCTAGAAAACAAAAAGAGAGCGAAAGTGATACCAAGAGCGCAAGAAAGAGTGCACTAGCTTTGAGCACTTCTATGCGTTTTGTTTTAAGAATGTTTTTCGATATCTAAAAAAATGTTTTCTGCTTTTTTTATTCCCTCCGTCCCGAAAACAACTTCCCCGTTGGACTTTGACACACTTTTAGGAAATAAATTTTACTTTACTGTAGAATGCACTGTTTAAACATTGTTTGGCACTGTTTAAACACTGTTTGGCACTGTTTAAACACTGTTTGACACTGTTTATCACTTTTTTGATGTAGATAAATTGCCAAATAAGGAAAATATTGAAGTGTGAAGTTAATTTTGGGACATCCATTTAAGGAAAGTGGGAAGTTGTTTTCGGGACAGAGGGAGTATTTTATAAGGCTAGGAGCAACAACTCCAACAAGCATAGTGGTGATAGGCTGATAGCGATATCCAAAAATTGTTTTTCTGCTTTTTTTTTTATTTCTCTTTTTCTATTAGACAAAGATGATAATTTTTCACTAAAAAGTCTCGCTTTAATTTTTAATTTTTTTGTTACAAACATTACTAACTTTAATAATTAAATACCCTTTCAAAAAAACTTTAATATTAAAATATTGTTCATCATACAATCTCTAAAAACATTATTTCTCAGAACTCAAAAGTAGAAAAAATGCAAACCCTCCTCCAACTAAGAAGGGGATGCTTTTTCTTTTCGAACAAAAGTGATTTATTTCATACGGAGTGCTCCCTCCATATTTAAATGATCTCTACACTAGACCTGCACAAAAGCGGGTTCGGGCCGGGCTTGGGCCGGGCTTGGGCCGGGCTTTTCTTAAGTTTTCTGCCCATCGTGTGTGGACGGGCCCGGCCCGGCCCGCAAAAACGGGCCTAACCCCATGTCCATACCCGCCCGTAAGAGCGGGCCGGGTAGTCCACCGGGCCGCCGGGACCGGGAAAACTTTAAATTTTTCAAAATTATATAATTTATTTGATACTTTATAAATAATATTGCAACATTTAAAAAATTGCTAATACGCTTATAATGTATATAGGCTTTTCATCACATACACAAAAAATATTTACACAAAAATAATAATGAGAAACTATATCTAAAATTTAAAATTCATGCACAAAGTATTATCTTTAAGTACAAAAATAGATATTATATTGGTTGGACTGTTTGTTAAGAACTAAAAAATTAAATTTAAACATAATAAACTATAAATATATATACAGATAAATTAGTAAATATAAAAATATACATGTGTACATGTAAATAAATACATAAATTAGTGTGTGTATATATATATATATATATATATATATATATATATATATATATATATATATATATATATATATGTATATATACTAAATGTGGCGGGCCAGGCTTATCGGCCCGAATGGGCCTACACCCTAACCCAAGTCCGCCCATATGTTGTTGCGGGCCGGGCCCGGGCCGGGCCGGTGGGTAAATATATATGCCCAAGCCCGCTAATTTGTGCGGGTGGGCTGGGCGGGGCCGGGCGGCCCGGCCCGGTTTTGTACAGGTCTAAAGTCTACACTAATTTTGGGCACACGATTTTAGGATAGAAAAGTAGAGATAGTGAATAGTGTAAAAAAAGTAAGAGAGATTGTGTAAAACTAAGAAAGAGAAAAAAAAGTAGATAAAGTAAAAGCTTGTTTGCAAACACTTAAATAAAGTGCTTGTGGCTTTTTTTTAAAGAAAAAAACACTTATTTTACAAACACTACCAACTTTTACTTTCTCGGTTTTCGTGTAGAATCTTTTTTTACTTTTTCTATTACACAAAAAACACTTATTTTACCAAACGGTCAAACACTACCAACTTTTAATACCAATCACTTTTTCCCAAAAAGTGCTTTTATTTAAACACAAGCACTTGCAAACAAAGTCTAAGAGTAGTTGAGTACGTAGTATTTTATAAAAAATAAACTTACCAAAAATGGAAGTGTAGAGAATTTTTAAATACGCAGAGAATATAGTATAGCAAAAAACTAATAGTGTAAGTTGGTAATTTTAAATGAAACGTTTTTTGTCAAAAGTAAGAGTTAATCTCTTTGGTGAAGAAATATTTATTGTTATAATAGTTCGGTTAAATGTAATTGAATGCGGAAAACTAGTTTACCGCATGATTTAGAGCGACAGTGAGATGGCGGCAGACGGCTTGTGTCATTTCTTGTCCGACGAATGATTTGGAGCGACAGTGAGATGGCGACAGTTACCACGCTTTCCTTCTCCATGATATGCTTCTCTACGGTTTATGCTTCTGGACGTGATGATGATATGGATCGAATTTGGAGGTATGCGATTAATTCATGCCTTCAAATAGAAAATCGCCAGGTTAGTTCCGCTCGGCTTGATTGTCGGGACTCGGGGGGGGGGGGGGGGGGGGGGGGGGATTTTGACAGTGTTGGGTGCAAGGGTCAAATGGACGGGCCGTCTAGATTGGGCCCTTCTTGGATGGTTTTCACCTTAAACTGAAAGCGATTGGGGGTGCTCAAGTGAGGCAATTTCTAGATCGAGCCCCGAACAAGGGAGAAGACAAATCGGCGGTTCGCCCCCTTCATGAACCGTCGCCCTAGAAGATGATCGATACTTCAAGAAAACTAGCAGGAAAGTGTTTGGAGTATTTATCAGTTATTTTTTTATAGTCTTACTTTCATGTTATGTTTGTTTATGTTTGTCTATTTTTTGTTGATGTTTTTTTTTACTCTAGGGGGCTTCTGGGGGAGGGGGGGTGGGGGGAGCCTGGAGTAATCTAAGCTGAAACTCACTCCATTGAGTTTCGAACCCGAGACCTTCCCGTAAGGGAGAGTGAGTCGGCGACCAGCTGGGCTGGACCGTTTCCTCTTGTTGATGTCTTTAATTTTAAGTCTACAATAATGATTGTCAATTTTGCTATATATTATGTCATTAAAAAGATCTATATGACTAGTGATTGTTGTGTTACACCCGTTTGATGGTTAGCGATTCATATTGTTCTTTCGGGGGCATAGTGCTAGTTGTTCACGGATAGTTGTTGTCGGTGTTGGTCTCTTTGAATCTTTTGTAACGATCCGAATTGTGCTGATATTAATATAAGCCATTTTTTCTTAAAAAAATACTCCGTATTACTTTTAAGCTTTAAGAAAAAGTGGAAAATATTTTTATTAAATCGAAAACGCTTCAAAAAAAATTGTTCGGTTGGAGCTTTTTAACTATGAATATTTAAAAAAAATATGGAAGATGGATGGTGTTTAAACGTGTTTTTGTTTATACTACGTATGAAGCATCTTTACACAATTATACCAAACTACCCAAGCCGCAGTTGTACTTTTCAAATTATCTTTTATTTTGATTGAAAATTCTACTTGGCTCACGGATAAATGTGCTATAGGAGAGGCGGCCTATGTTGCAGCCTAATAGCCTTTGCATTGACTTTGCTTTCTTCAACATGGCCTAAGGAACACTATAAATTTACGTAGTATAAAATATCTCTCCTCGGCCACAGCTTCAAAGGAAGGGACATCATAAAATCATACGGACTATTATCAATACATCAACGAGCATTGCATGGATTTGGCACGTATCTTTGTTAAGTAGTCTATAAATTTTGAAGAATTCATGCTAAATATCCGTGGAAATCCATGCGGATATTGTTTTTTTTTGTAGCGGAAAGATGCTCCATCAAGTATGATAAGTGTAATTATCAACAAAGCTAGAGTATTTATAATATTTCTACGGTACTGCGGACTGTGTGGAATATCTCCCCAAGTATAAAAAGTTTGATTAGCAACACAACAAATATTTTTTTGATCTCTAACTCAATATATTAATTCACCAAATCATGTGTCAACAGGCTTACAATAATGTCAGGAATAACATCATAACAACAATACTGATCTAAGATAGTCACGTGAGCTCGTGCTAGCGCATGAGCAACACGATTCGCAGATCGCTTACAAAAAAAGACAATAACATAAATACTGTTATCTTTCAACAAACGCCTAATGTCATCAAGAATAAGGAAAAGGTAAGAAGATCCTCCCCCATTTTTAGACCCTCGACCACCGAGAGAGCATAAGTTTCAATCTCCACGTGTGACCAACCTGCTTCTACCGCTCCCATCAACGCATCACAAACTCCCATTGCCTCTGTTTCCACCACAGACCAGCTAGCTAGTTCTGAGACCTCTTTCGCCTTTAAAAAGTTACCATGGTGATCCCGTGCAACCCACCCCCAGGCCCGAATATTTTTGCCTTCATCCACCGTCCCATCCACATTTATCTTAACATGTCCAACCAGCGGTCGTCTCCAAGCTGATATAATACCTGCCGCTGTGTTGGTTATGCCCACAGTTCCTTGCCATTTATTCATCCAGACACATCCATTTCTCCTCTTCCATATACCCCACAAAATAGCAATGAATCTACATCGTTCTTCCCCATTCTGTCCACCTAGGTGCTGCCAAATCCACGCCTCCACAGAGTCCACCGAGCTACCCAGATCCCCATTTTTTGGGCTTACAAAGTTTCTCACAACGTCTCCACCTCAACCCCTTCTGCTCAAATTTAGTGCCCCTCCACCAAAAGTCATTCATAAGTTTTTCAATTTCATCACATAAATTATTTGGCATAAGAAAAACATTCATGACATAGTTAGACATAGCCTGAATCACATTTTTAACAGAACCGCTCTACCTGCCCTAGATAAAAATCTATTATTCCAATTCTTAATTCTATTAAAAAAATTTACTCCCTCCGTAACTTTAGAATCTTCTCATTTCAAAAGTAGGTAGATTAAGAATAGTGAAAGATGATATGAATTATTGAGGGTATGATGGGAAAATAGTGGAATAATGTGGTGGAATGTAGGATAAATCCAAAAAAAGTAGTTGTAATAGTGTATTATTTTAAGAATTATTGAGGGTATGATGGAAAGATTTAGAAATGGGAAGATTTTTGTGTTACGGACGAAAAAGGAAAGTGAGAAGATTTTTAAGTTACGGAGGGAGTATCTTTTAGATAGCCTAAAATAGCAGATTTTTTTTTACCCACAAGAGTGAGTAGGCCGAGATACT